GCGGAGGGATCGCTGGAGCCCAGAAGGCTGATGCTGGGGTGGCTGTGAGTGTACCACTGCACTTCAGTCTGGATGACAGAGACTCCAACTCAAAAAAAAAAAAGATAAATCCTCATTATTCTCTCAGTGCGTGTCTCTCTCTCTTTCTATCTGGATCTTCTCCCAGACAGAGTTTGGCTTATAAAAGGACACAATACACAATTCTAGTTAAAAAGATGCAAGGGGAAACATTCTGGGAGGCTTTCAGGAAAGCTCTTATTACTTTTAAAACTAGGCCCAAATAAGTGCTTTTCCCTTGGCAAGGCTGAGCATTGTTAATGTAATGTTTAGAGATGCAGCAGCCAACTCAAAACCATGTAGGGACAAGGCTGAGGGGGAAGAAAAATCTTTGAGGATAAAATGAGAAGAGGCTGGGTTCCTCATGGCCTTACTAAGGTGCTGAATTAACCTGGAAACTAAAACTGTTTGTCTAAGATATCTTTGAATTGTCTTCAGTTACTTGCAGTCAAATTCATCCTCAATAACACACCCAACATGTACATATCTAGAGAAATTCACATCTTGATGCCAGAATTGTCAGAATTAAAACTAAGCTTTCAGACTTCATTATATGCAGTTATCAATTACAACTGCTCTTTTTAAATTTCTAAGCATTTTTTTTTAATCCTTCTTATGATTAACTCCCTCATTTGATTGTTAGAATGAAGGGACTTTGATATACTCTCCCCTACAATCATAATGGGTATCTTAGAACAACAACTACAGTGAATATAAATTTCATGTTTTTGGAAGAACTTGACAATATTTTAGAAAATATCTCATATTGAAATGAAAGGGTGGCATCTGGCAAAGTTACTGTTTTTTGGAAAAACTATCAGAATATCAGCTTGTAAATTATAAAAAGCACAACCTGAATATGCTGCAGTTTAATAAAGTTAAATTAAGTAAATAAATCATTCTTCTGCAAAATAATAATTATGCTTTAAAGAACTTTGGATTATGTTCATTTATTTAACCTATAAGTCTTATTATTTCGCATGTTTTAAACAGTTTTTTACTGTAAAATTGACATCGTGTTGGCATTTATACACTTAGTAATAAAAAGTAGGTAAAACCATTAGCCATTTAAAAGGGAAATCTTTCCTTGACTAATGTGATAAAGGATTTCTCCACCACAAAAGAACAAAAAGGAAGTGAATCAAATATGGGTTCTGCGGCCTAGCTCCAACCTCAACCTAAACCCACTCCAAACACAGGCGGCTTCCCTGCCAGTTCATTGACTGATGCCAAGACTGAAATTAAATATGGACTATTACAGGGTCTCATTAAGATTACAAGACTACAGGACTTGTGGTCAGAGTCAAACTCAGGATAACTGCAATCCAAGAGTCTCTTTGATAGCACAATATCAAAAAAACATTATCCTGCAAACATTATTCTGCAAACAGTAACATGTACCTCAAACTATGCTAGAGTTTCTTAATAATTGCAGTACAAAATAATAGCATTATCACCTTTTTTTTTAAGTCGGGATCTCACTCTGATGCCCAGGCTGGAATGTAGGGCATGACCAAGGCTCACCACAACCTCGACTTTTTGAGCTCAAGTGACTCCCCTCAAACTCAGCCTCTCGAGTACCTGGGACCACAGGTATGTGCCACCACACCTGGCTTCACTGATTTTTAAAATTTTTTTTGTAGAGACAAGGTCTCACTATGTTGCCCAGGCTGGTCTTGAACTTCTAGGTTCAAGCAATCCTAAAGTGCTGGGATTACAGGTGTGAGCTACCATGCCTGGCCAACCTAATTATTTTAAGTTATAGTTCTCCCTAGTCATCTTTGTGATGAGCTCCATAATGCCACACTCTAATGCACACAGCAGTTTCTGACTTGTCCTCTCTTTCTATCTTTTTAACCTTAAAGAATGGACTTAGTTTAATTTTCTGGCATTTGGTCAACTAGTTTACAATTTTAAGTCACAGGCATATACCCTCTTCTTAATCTTTCTAAGGTGAGAATTAATGCACTTTTTGACCTCTATAGCTATTTCACACTCTGATCATTTTGGTTGTTCTGCTCTTGTACAGTAAACAGAACTACAACTAGAACAGGTACAGATATACTGTGATCTACTCTGCTTCTTGTTTTTAAAGTCAAATTCCTGTGTAATGTATGTTACCACATTTCCCGAAAAGAGCTAGTCAACTGCTACCAAATTCAGAGGGACATTTGGTGTGTCTCGACCTAAAGTATAGAATAGATAAGGGAAATACATATTCTCTTTTTTAATGCCTGGAGAGAGAGCTGAAACTAAGGCACAAAGACAGAACATCTGTCTCCTTATCGATAGAACATGTAATTATACAACAATATGACATGGACAGAGAAAAAAAAACCTCATAATTTCGAATATGACTCCAAGTCAAAAGTAATACAAGCAGATACTGCCAATTAGGTGCTAATTCTCAAATACATGAGTAAATCTATGTAGGCTTTTCTAGAGTAAGTTGCAGAAAAGACACACAGATATTTATTAACGATTCTCTTGGAAAACACTTCATAGTCCTACTACCTGTTTATAAAATCAGGATAACATTCTCTCTAGAGTTTTGAAGTTATTTGTTTTGGAGTTCAGTATTTGAAACAAGCAAGGGATTTTTATGGGTTACAGTAACATTTGAATTTATGTCTCTGTGGAAGTGACACTTAGATTTTATTTTAATTTTGAATCTTTTGGCTTTATTTCATCATTCTATGAAATTTCTCTGCTTTTTAAATATATTAGCATTAACGTAAAATAGAATATCTCCATCTGATTTGGGAACTATATGGACCTTGAAGATTCTATTTAAAAAGTCTTCCTTTATGACAGGTATTATTAAGAATAATAAATTATTTTCTTTTACTATTGTAGGTTCAGAATTAAGGTACATTAAGAAGAATTTATAGTTATATAACATAAAGTTATATTAGAAAAAATTTTAGCAACTAGAACAAAAATCAGTAATCAATTACTTGATTCTATCTCCAGAAAAACTTCTAATGGATACAGACTATTGGGGAACTGTTTGCATACCAAATAAAGACAAACATGCAATGATAATCCTATTTATAAACAAAACATCATTAAAGCAGAATATCAAGAATGTCTGAGTTAGCATACTTACCATCCTGTTACACAGATACAAATTATAATCACATATTGTGGGTGGGAAACTAAGGAATAGAGAAAATAAGTAATTGAATCCAGATACCACAACTAGCTAATGGTGGGCGGGGATTTGAACCCAGGCAGTCTGGCTACAGAGTCTGTGTGTTTAACCATTACCTTGTACCCAGTTCTCTGTATAGTGCCTTGTTCATAGAAATAGTTGTGAGGCTGTGGAAGGCGAATCAGGGCAAGAATGGGTAGAGGTGGGAGACAGAAATATGTTTTAAGATTTTCTCAGATGCCAACCATACAATTAATACAGAAAATGAGAATAATTCTATAGTTCAGTTGTACGAAAACAGTTTGAGAGACATTAGTATAATCTGTGTTTCCATCATTGCCAAAAATGGAACATAAATGTGGAATGTGAAAGATTATTTATTTTTTAACACAGTGGTTGGCATATTTAGAACTCCCAAGTTGTAGAATACAAATCTACCCATAGGATAGTTTTCTTTATTTAAAAAATAAAAGTAAAAATTATTTGTTTATATTATCTGACACAGACCTGACAATCTAACTGCAGACCCAGTCTGGGGTGCAGTAGCATAAACACAACTCACTGCAGCCTCTAACTCCTGGGCTCAAGGGATCCTCCCATCTCAGCCTCCCAATGTGCTGGGCTTATAAGCATGAACCACCACACCTGGCCTTTCCTTTCCTATTATCCTACACTGTATTACATATTCCTGCTGGTGGAATTGTGTTGTACTTTGCTGTAGCCCCAGTACAGAGTTGGTCATTCACAGATATCTGATGTGTGAATTAATGAAAAAGACAACGGGAAAGTTTATTTTCTCCTAGTGCCTTTGAATTATGATATATTTGCATCTTGCATACAAGTGGGGACTCCCCCCAAAACCCGGAATAATCTTTAAGAGGGTAGGCTCCTTGTAGTACACTCGGAATTTGTTTCCTTGGATCAAATGGTCAGCCAAAGTTTTTATCTAGAAGTTTTTTTTTTTTTGAGTTGGAATCTCACTCTGTCAGTCAGACTGGAGTGCAGTGGCTGCTCCTGGCCACTGCAGCCTTGACCTGCTGGGCTCCGGTGATCCTTCTGTCTCAGCCTTCCGAGTAGCCGGAATTACAGGTGCACGCTACCACATCCGGCTAATTTTTTTTTTTATTTTATTGTAGAGATGATGTCTTGCCTGCCCAGGCGGGTCTCGAACCTGTGGGCTCAGGCAATCCACTCACCTCAGCCTCCCAAAGGCGCGGGATTACAGACTGAGCCACCGAGCCCGGCTATCTAGAAGTTTTGAGCAGGTTGCATCACAATTTGCAGAAGAAACATCCTGAGTTGTGGCCAACCGGTGACTGCTTCTTCCACCATGACAATGCACCTGCCCATACCTCACTGAGTGTTGAGTAGTTTTTGACCAAAAACGACATCACCCCTGTATCCCACCCTCCCTACTCACCTGGTCTCACCCCAAGTGACTTTTTTGGTTTCCCAGAATGAAAAACGTCCTCAAAGTGAAATATTTCACTGATGTGGAAGAGGTGAAACAAACAAAAAAAAACCAACAGAAGCACTAAAAGGCATCAAAATTGATAACTTCAAAAACTGCTCTGAGCAGTGGAAAAAGTGTCTCAATAGGTGTATTGCATCCAACAGAAAGTACTTTGAAGGTGACTGAAGTTTAAACATGTAAGAATAAATATACAATTTTTTATAAATCAATGCTGTTTCAGTGGGGTCCTCCCTCATACACAAAAGGGGTATGGGAAAACAGACTTTCATGTTCATAAATATTTAAAATTATTGACTCAACAATACTGTCACTGACCTGAGATACATATAAATCCAGAAGAGAAAAAGGCTTCATTGTATGATGACAGGTTGTCAGTCTGGGCATAGACAGCATACACGGACATGTGTGAACAGGCACATTCCACATAGTCTGAAGTGTCCTCAACCACTTTGCAAAACTGACTGTCGGACAACCAGCTAGGGCAAAAACACAATAGTTACTACACCTCTTTTATCAATTCTTAAGGTGTTGAGATGGCTTTTAAAGAAAAAAATAACTTGTTGAACTAAAATGTTCTTTAGACTTAAGTAGACCACATTAAAAAACAAAACAAAACAAAAAAAAAACACTGACGGGAACATCTTGTCCAGGACATGACATAACAGATTCCATGGGACATCTTAAGAAGCGGTGTGCATACCACCCAAAGCTGCCAAGGTATTCCTGGTACCGAAAGAACTGGCCCTCTCAACAAAGTAGAACTAGCCCCTACCTACTCTAAAGAACAAACCAACTGGGAGTTTTCACTAGAGGGTGCTCTCCCCTGTTATCCCACACTCCCAGAAGATCAACACAGCCAAGATATATGTTCACTCTTCTTCATTTTGTCCCAAGTTCTCATACTGTGAACCACATCAATTACTTTGATGCTTTACCAAGATTACTTCCTCATCTTTCTTCTACTTTTAAGTCACATATTTCATAGATGTTTTCCAAGGTTCTTTCAGGTGTTTCCTTCTATAAAGTCTGGTTAATTTAACACAAAAACCATGTCATGATTTTAGCAAACCTCACGTCTTGTGCCAAACCTTCTGAGCATTCCAAGGTGATTATTGGTTGAGTCTCTTATCTTTTAAATGCCTCATAATTCCTTCACTTTTCTAAGGATAAAACTTCGTAACCCAAATTCCAGATTAAAGCTCAGAACATCCATTACTAATTGTATATTGAGGACTGCAAAGTATCTGTGTGTTAGGTTTACAATCTGTCATCAGGTAACAGGAATTTCCATTGGAAAAAAATTTTTTTAAGAGAAAGCAAGAGATTAACTAGAATTTTAGTGTTCTGAAGAACAGTTGGTTACACAACTAAGTTATTAAACCGATTTAGAATTGTAGTCTGTGTGACTGAAATTTAGTAATAAACAGAATTGAGTGACTGACGCAGACCCTAGAGCCTCTAGGCTAACAATGCCTGACCCTGCAGCACTGCCTGAGCTTCAACTGCTCTGCCTGAGCTCCAACTGCTCAGAAGCTTGACGTCTGAGGCGGAGAAGATTCATAGAAAGAATCGATCCCCCCTGCTGATCCTCCAAACGCAAAGCATCAGCTCCACAACTGCAGCCCAGACAGAAGGAATAAAAAAAGGAATTTCTTTCCTGCCCAACAATTTAACTAATACCTTCGCAGGAAGGTTATCTGAATTGAGCAGAACTTGTGCCACATCCCATGACAGTAGCAAAAATAAATAAGCGAATGATGTGCTACACACATATCTAAGTTGTTTGGCTGTATTTGTTGTCTGAACAGTGTTAGACAATTTCCTATGCTGCTTTATCTTCTTATTACAGACAAATGTCTTACCTGAAGCCACCATCTATGCTTAGTACAAAACATTAGGCTCAGTGGTACTGGAATGGGGAAGGACTAAATTCTGATTTACATGATTTATATGTGTGTGTGTGTGTGTGTGTGTGTGTGTGTGTGTATACACACACACACACATATATATGTGACTAAGTACCTTGCAGCAGCCTGATTCCAAAAGAGACACTGAGACGTCTGAGGAACGATTCTCGGCTCCGCAGCATAAATCCTATAGAGAACTTCATTGTTGTTTGTCAGGAGTTGTGGACTCTGACTTTTCATGCTCAAAGATAATACCTAGAATGTCAAAAGGAATGGAAAATGTGATGATATTTTCCAGATAGTGTCATGACTGAGTCTCCTACCCTGAACGTGACTTCATTTTTCTAGTAACCGTCGTTCCTTGTTTCTCCCACTATTCAGATTTCACTTACTTAGGAGCACAGGACATCTGACTAGTTTTTTGTCGTGTCCTTTCTACCTCCACTGTGGTCACTCAGTCGTCTTCAGCTGGGAACACTCACTTTGGCTATAACTGGCTGACTTCATCGAGAGTTAACTATATAATAGAATATATTAGTAAAAAGCTGTATTTTTTTTCACTTTCCATATTTTTATATATATGTATATATATATATATACATATATATATGAGAGAGAGAGAGAGAGGAGGCTGGAGGGAGAGGGGGAGAGAAAGAGAGAGAAGGAGAGAAGCGGGAAGGGAGAGGAAGAGCTCAATAAAACATGAGGGAAATATTGCCAGCTCCTTCTGAAGCTAAACATTCTACAAATAGTTCATAAAAACAGAGTAAATTTCAGATTAGTTCACCATGTGTGGCACTTACCAAAAACCTGATCATGCAAATACATTCTGAGTGTGTCTGCTAAGAAAAAATCAGATCCCATCACATAATTGTTCAGATGATAGGTTACCTTATTTTTCAAGGCATGGAGATTGTTTCCAGTTAGAAACCACTGCTGGCTGCTATACTCCGTAAACTGGATTGATTTACATGTACTTTCCCCAGCCACTACTTCTTCATCTGGGACATCCAACAGCCTCTCTGGAATTCGAATGTAGTCACCTTCCTTCCCTTCAAATTTGTGCCCATTGATTTGCTGAGGATACCAGTGAAGAGCCAGGATCGACAGATAGGGGCAACTGTCAAGGATGGTTTTGCTTCTACAACAGAAGAGCAAAGGGCCTGTTATAGGCCTGTGTCTGCATGCATCCATCTACTTAGATCTGTTAAGATGCATTACATGGGACTCTTCTCTTTGTGTAGAACAGTGACACTACGGACCCAGAAGTAGTAGATAGAATGTGCCTTCTGTTCTTTTATGGTTAACGGGCATGATTTTTTTAGACACAACTTTCCACATCCTCTTCCCTAGTCTTCCTTGTAACCCTCACATTGGTTTTTTGAAAGCTATTTCACCAATATCAAGACACAATCTGTAGCTATAAGGTGTCCTTTTCTGTGTTAGTCACACCAGCATTGGTGGCACAGATGGAGAGAAGGGTGTCCCCACTGAACCAAATTCCTCTGCTTTATTTGAGAACATCAACTTCATATATCTAGAGCCGTGTTTTCATCAAGAGTTTGCCTCACGCCTTTCTAATCCATCAAAGCATTGCTAATATAACCACCTGACTGATAAGAACAGCCCTGAACAATAATCTTTTTTCATTTAACAATTCTGTTTTGAAGATTTTCTAGACATAATAAGAGTCTGTGCTCAGCAAAATTGCTTCCAAAGCCCAGTGTGTGGTGAAATCACTTGAAAGCTTGTTTTAAAGTACAGATTTCTAGATGACACCATGGACTTATTAAATCAGAATCCTTATCCGGGGAGAGATGAGAAATTCTAGGAATTTGTATTTGTCACCCGTTGCCCAGAGAATCTGATGCAGAATCTGTGAGTAGACCCACTGTTTATAGACAAAAAGGAGATATGCAGATAAAATCAGATCTGAAACCTGCTTGAGTAACAAAGTTAGGCCCAAACTTTACCTGTACGATGACCATTTGTATACCTAACCCTGAATTATACCCTACATGTTTAAAATAAAAATTAAAAAGAATTTAGGAAATATTAGGATGCTTGGATAAGATAAATGCATCAAATGTGAAAAGTCACACGGGCTACAAAAGATGAAGAGTATGCATAATTACATCATGGATCTGAATAATATCTTGTTAAGCCTCCTTGACTTGGGAAATGGAGAAGATAATTTTAAATTGAGACAGTGAGGGCCAACTCTTTCCTCTAGCTATACAACCTCTCTAAATGCTTCCATAACTTTAGCTACCACATTTGAAATTGGTGCCTTCAGATATCACTTTTTGTGTGTTTGTTTTTTCATGATGGGGTCTCACTACGTTGCCCAGGCTGGTCTTGAACTGCTGACTTCAAGCAATCCTCCCACCTCAGTTTCCACTCAAGTGCTGGGATGACAAACTTGAGCCACCATGCCCAGTCTTGTCATTCACTCAGGGTTCTCGGTTGTCCAAGTCTCCTACTGAAATACCTCAATTTGTATGGGCAGCACACAGCCCCACAAAATCTTGTCTAAAACACATCTCTTCATCTCCCCCTCTGACTCCCACATCTTTGCTGGTAACTCTCAGCCTAAAAGCGACCACTACAGACCCTCCCCCCAGGCTCCATGTGATTGAGACTAGTAAAATTCAGCCCCACAGCTCCACACCCCCATCCCATCCCTCTCAGAATCCACAGAGATTCAGTTTGGTCAGTGCCATCAGGGGCTCAGCTATCTTGGCAAACTGAGGATACCACCACACGCACAGTGACTCCACCAAGCATTGACACAATTGTGCCAGATTCGTGGCCTCTCTTACTGCTGGTGACCCCATCCTGCTTGATACCTTAACCTCCTGTATCTATGCACTCACCTTGACCAACCCCACAGTTCACTTTACACCTCGACTGAAGTGAGGAGGGGACCCTCACATTAACACGTAGGTAGGCACTACCACAAGTCCACAGTGACCAACCTCAGTCAGACCCTCAGTGCCACTTGACATTGTATGTACTTGGATTTCAAACGACTGTTCTAAGATCCCATCATTCTCCTCAATACCCTGGCTCAATTTCCAAACGTTTCGCTCTCAGTTGATGCCCTGATACTGCTTACAGCAACGTATGAATAATACACGTCAGAATGGTCAACATCTTTAGGGGCTCCTGAGTAAATAAACTAGACTTGATCGCTGTCTTATTTTCTATGTTCACTGTGTCACTATCATGTTAATTCTACCACCTAATTATTTTCAAGGTACCACTCTCCCCTGTCCCTGCCTTAATTTCAGCCTCATCTTCTTTACCTGAACAACAATTCCCTGCGAGTCTTTCTCTTTTTTTTGAGTCAAGATCTCACTCTGTCACCCAGGCTGGAACATGGTAGCATGATCCCAGCTTACTGTAGCTTCAAATTCCTGGGCTCAAGTGATCCTCCTGCCTCAGCTTCCCAAGTAACTGAGACCACAGGCACTTGCTACCACATCCATCTAAGTTTTTTTATTTTTTGTAGAGACGTGGTCTCACTATGTTGCCCAGGCTGGTCTCGAAGTCCTAGGCTCAAGCAATCCTCCTGCCTTGGTCTCCCAAAGGGCTGGGATTATAGGTATACACCACCATGCCTAGTAGTCTTCCTATTTCTTGCTGTGCCCTATTCTTTAACCTTTGACACTCCCCTCAACGGAAGGTCTCTAAAATTTTAAGTCTGATTCTTTCACACATACACATACACACACCTACCTAGATTACATGATGCTCAACCTTTAAAAAACTGATGATCCTCCCAAGCACACCATGCTATTTCTTGCCTGACTGCCATTGTGTGTTATGTTTCCTCTTCCCGAACAATTCAAAAGCAAAGATGAGTTGGTTTAGTGGAAGGACATGGCAGAAAACATATTGGCTCATGTATTAACTCTAACCATTCATTCTACCATAACCATGGAGAATCGCCCTGAGCCAGATGCTGTTTGAGGTCCTGAAAATACCTCAGGCAACAAGGCAGAAAAGATCATTCTTTTTTTTTTTTTTTTTGCAAATTGTACTTTCTTGAATTTTCACTGGGTCCTTAAGGGCACAGATATGGGACTCAACATGGGAGTAGACAGTCCCTGATATCCTGGCAATCTTGCAGAAATATGGAAAAGCACGGGATTATGGAAGAATACAAAGCCAGGAACTGTTTCATTTCATTGCACGACATACTTGAACATAGTTCAAGAGGGAAAGCAATGGCCAGTATTTCTTTCTTTCTTTTTTTTTCCTTCGAGTTGGAGTCTCACTCCATCGCCCAGGCTGGAGTGCCGTGGCATGCTCACAGCCACCCCAGCGTTGACCTGCTGGGCTCCGGAGATGCTTCCGCCTCAGCCTTCCAAGCAGCAGGAGCTACAGGCATGTGTTACCACACCTGGCTAATTTTTTTTTATTGTAGAGACCAGGTCTCACCAAGTTCCCCGGGCTGGTCTTGAACCCCGGGACTCAGGCAATCCACTCGCCTCAGCCTCTCAAAGTGCTAAGATTACAGGCTGATCCACCGAGCCCAGCCCCAGTACTTCACACACACACACACACACACACACACACACACACACACACACACACACACACACACACTGGCCTGAGTACAAACTTACTTGAAGCAAAGAAATGATCCATGTCAGAGACTTGCACAGACAGCGTTAGAGACAAAAGACAGTATGGAGCTGAGCTGCTAATGATTCCTCCCAGCCAGACGCTTGGAGGCAGTGACGGGACAAAGGGCCTCCTAAAAGGAGGCTCTGCCAGGCTCTTCTGACACTTTGTTGACTTTCCACATCAAGGAACCTTTACTTCCCAGGACCCACTTAATCAGGGTGAGAGGAAGAGCTCAGTGTCAGGAGATGTTGCTTCTGTACTGTCATCTCGAGATACACCCTGGCACTGACCTTGGTTGAAAGTCTGGGGCACTTTGGAGCCATGGGGCTGAGAGGAAGTTTTGTTACAAAGCAGGTGTTACAGTATATTCTGACCACACAATGTGGTGGCCAGCAGGGGCTCTGGAGACAAGTGGAAGGGAGTCCAGGACTCACCGTGGACTCATTGTGTGACCCTGGCGAGCTGTGTGAGGTTCCTAGACTCGGTTTTCCCAGACTCACTGTGTGACCCTACTAAGCAGCGTGAGGTTCCTAGACTCAGTTTCCCCGTGGACTCACTGTGTGACCCTGATGAGCAGTGTGAGGTTCCTAGATTCGGTTTCCCCATGGACTATGCGACCATGGCGAGCCATGTAAGGCTCCTAGACTCAGTTTTTACATCTGCAAATAGGAATACTAAGAGCCCTAACTCTAACCCTGAATAGCAACTCAAAATTATCTTTTGTGAGAACAAAAAATACATACAATTTTTGGCAAGGCTTAGGTTGAACTATATGAAAATGTCAATATTAAACTGTTTTTACCTACTGAAAAAGGCAATTCATATTGTTCAATTTAATACAATGTCAGGACTATAGCGGTGGTGTAATTCATTTCAATTTTATTATTTTTATTATTATTTTATCCCTTATTCTCTTTTGTAGCCCAGTTATGTCTGGATAGACTTTCTCTTTGAACTTCATGTGTCTTGTGACCTAAGAACTAACATTAAAAGTTTCACATATCCAATCAATTTTTTAAAATTAACCTGTTAGAGTTCATAAAAGCCTCCATAAATGAAGAGATGATTTAAACTATCATATACAATTTTAAAAAATAGACTTCAAAATGTCATTAAATTTCAATGTGACTTAATGAACCCTGATGACAGCATGCATGTATAACAATAAAATTTATGCAGATTTATATAAACACCCAGCCAGACACATCTTGTTAAATAACAATCAAATAATAGTCTTTGGTTTTTAGATAACATATATTACTCTGAGGAAATTGGGAGGAATCTCAATTCTTAAGTTAAATAGAAATAACACAGTTTTAGGGCTTTGTACTATAATGATCCAAATTACCTTTATGAATATAATTAATATTATCATAACTTCTGAATTATATTAAATATGGTTTGGAGTTTTTTTTAATTTATATTTTAGATACAAGGTCATGTTCTGTTACTGAAGCTAGATCGCAGCGGCACTATATCATAGTATAAACTGTAGCTTTGAACTCCTGGGCTCAAGCAATTCTCCTGCCTCAGTAGGAGTAGGAGACTACAAATGTATGCCCCCACACCCGCCTGATTTTTAAATGTATTTTTGGGTAGAGATGAGGATCTCACTATGTTGCCCAGGCTGGCCTCGAACTCCTGGTTTTAAGCCACCCTGCCACCTCAGTCTCACAAAGTGCTAGGATTACAAGCATGAGCCACTGCACCCTGACTAAAATATAGTTATAAAATTAATCATGTAATAAACTTGCGTGACATTTTGTTTTTCCCCTTTCCTCCTGCTAACTTTCCACCATGAAACTCCAGCCATGAAAAGACCAGTCTGAAGGTCAACAGCATTCTGAGAACTGTCTCCAAATGGGTGAAACAATTGTGTCTCTAGAGGGAAGCACAATTATAGCACATCACAACTTTCCTGCAGGTTGGCTTCACCTTCCCTTTTTTCCTATTCAGAATGCATCTTCTACTCATTAAATAAATAAGAGTCATCTGTAGTAAGACTTTTGTTATTTTTAAAGGACTTGTCAAAACAGGAGGACTATGTTGCTGACAGCACAAACTTATTTTTCCTATGGTAGCTGCCATATTTTCTTCAAATAATTAACTTCATTTACTCAACAGGTACAACATATCGACAGTGTAATTCTTAGTCATATCATCTAAATGTCAAAATACATAAGAGGGGCCACTAATGTGTTAAAAGGGACTCACTTTTCACCGGGAGAACCACAGGTGATGTTAGTCAGCAGAGAAAAGGCAAAATTCTCAGTCACTTCAGCAAAGTGGCTGAATCCCCTCGTATCCTCGCGCTTTGGGTTGACAAGAGCACAAAGAATCTCGTAGAAAAGAGTCCGGCTTTCCACACTGAAAGCTTGATTTCTTCCTTCAGCAGTTATCTAGAAAAAATATCCAAATGTCAAAACACTTCTTTAAAAATAAACCTCTTAAACTATACATAGCATATATAGTAGACATGCTCTTTATTAAGATATTGACATGAACAATATAAAGATGAACTTATGAAAATTTAAGAGAAATTAGTATCAAAATTATACTTCAAATACATCTATTTGCAACTTATTATTATTATTATTATTATTATTATTATTTTGAGTTAGAGTCTCATCCCATCACCCAGGCTGGAGTGCAGTGGCATGTTCATGGTCACTCCAGTGTCGACCTGCTGGCTCTGGCGATCTGTCCCCCTCAGGTTTCCAAGTAGCTAGAACTACAGGCGCGTGCTACCATGCCCAGCTAATTTTTTGTTTATTGTAGAGACAAGGTCTCGCCAAGTTGCCAGGGCTGGTCTCGAACCTGCAGTCTAAGTCAATTCACTTGCCTCGGCCTCCCAAAGTGCTGGGATTACAGGGTGAGCCATTGAACCTGGCCTATTTGCAATTTAAAAGGTATATATAATTGTGTATGAAGAAAAGGCATAATCACCAAAATATTTTCTAATTTAATCATTAGATAAAGCCCCAAATGGCTACATGGATCACTTTATTTTAACTATAATAATTCTCATAAGTTAAAATTAATCCCTCAAGGATTCCTGTTCTTTTTGACCAACAAGTAAGGAAAGAAATACCTCAGGAATATTTGCTTCTAACAGAAGCAAGGACTGTTCTTATATGTTTTTCAATGAACAAAAGCTACTATAATCATTGAATTTCTAAAGCACCAAATGAGAAAATCCTTTCCAAGAGCAGTCAAGAGCTCCTGGCACTCTTGCCTTGTTCAGTAAGAGACCCTCCCTACTTTAAAAAAAAAAAAACTGGGCTATTTGTTGTTTGAGAGACAAAGAAAGAAAGGAAGAGGAAAAATCTTTATAACTTTTCTTTGCCAGATTGAAGGGAATCACACCTTTCCAGATTCACTAAGCAGGAGTGTGAAGTCACTGGCTTTTTATTCTACTACATTCTGATACATCTGACAGGTTCCTGTTACTTCTTCGGACTCTAAAAGTCATTACTTTCTCTGTGATTTGTACACTGTGTCCCACCTGCCAACCTACATTATCACCCTCTTTGTAACTTGCATGTGCCTTTATTAATAAACTTATGACAGCCTTGAAATGACTCGTCTGTTTCTTCAACTAAATGAGCTTACTTTGAGAGTAGCTCATGTTCCCCATTTTTAAATATATAACTTTATAATCTAGTACAGTTCTAAGCTTATAGCTGAACTCAAGATCTGCACAGAGTGGCTGGGTGTGGCAGCTCACACCTGTAATCTCAGCACTTTGGAAGGCCAAGGGGAATTGCTTGAGGTCAGGTATTTGAGGCCAGCCTGGGCAATATAGCAAGACCCTGTCTCTACAAGAAAAAAAATTATCTGCATGTAGTGGTATGTGCCTATAGTCCCAGCTACATGGAAGGCAAGGCAAGAGGATCTTGAGTCAGGATTTTGAGGCTGCAGTGAGCTATGATTTATACCACTGCACTCCTGTCTGTGGCAGAGCAAGACCCTATTCCTTAAAAAAACAAACAAAAAACAAATAAGAGTAGCCATCTTAAAGATAGTAAGACAGAATAATGAATAATCCACAGAGAAATATGATAAAAGGTACAGAATAAAAATTTAATAATGCAAAAATGACAAACGGAGCCAGAGAACAGCCCACTGGATTCTGAACCGAGCAAACTGAAGATGATAAATGAAAAATGAGCTCAAGGAAACCTTTCAGAACTCAGAGAAAAGATAACAGATTAGTAGGACAAATCTTAAAGCAAATCCCTAAGATACAAGTATATAAAAAGCAGACAGAAGAAAAAAAAAACACAGTTCTTTAACAAGCTGATGAAGTATTCAAGTCTAAAAATGCAGACATTGCTTTATTCCAGGAAAAATTAGAAAAAGAGACAACACCAGCTGTATCTTGGTGATTTTTTAAAATATTATTTCAAGAGTTAAAAAATCATACCCAAAAACCAGACAGAAAAAAATTACTAACGGAGAAACAAAAATACAGTCTGACATCAGACTTTTCTGAAACTGAAATGCCAGAAGCCAGTGGAGCAATATGTGTAGGATTTTAAGAAGTAAAAGTTTTGGTCCAAGAATTCTAGAATTACCCACATTTTCATTCATATTCAAGGAAAATAGAATGTTTTTTTAGTATAGTACACAAAAATGAAACAAAAAGGCCATTTCAATAGCACTTTGTTGGTATGGGCATTTTGTAGGTCTCAGCACTTTCTAGTAACCTTTTTCATCTTCTCAACAGCCTGTGAGAAAGGTTCTGTTGTCTTTGTTTTGTTTCCAGTTAAGGAAACGGAGGCAGAAAGAGGATGACTAACTTGTCTTACAACATAAATTTTGTTACTAGGCAAGCCCAGAAGCTCTCTACAGCCACCCAGCACTGAGTGGAAATATCCCCCACTTAACCAGTCCAAAAAATAGCAACACAGATTGCAGGCATGAAATACAAAACCAGCCAGTAACATAGAGATAGGAGTTAAGTACGGAGTTAAGTGGAAATCCTTGTTAGTAAGATTACAAAATAAATCAAGTGTAAAAAAAAGACTATTGAAATTAAAAAACACATAATATTTTAAAGTATATGCTAAAAAGAAATAGTCTAGCTCTAAAAGGCCATTTTACACAAATAACAACAACAAAAGAACCTCCCAAATTTTCAAAATTGACTTAGGAGCAAATAGAAGACCTGACTCAACCATGGGAAAAAATTCAAAAGCTGTCGGGATAGAAAACAAAAATGGAGACCTTTAAGGGATAAAGAGTAGCCTATTAAACTTCCATAGGACAAATCAATAAATAATTTCTGTGTTCTTTCAAGTGTTCTAGAACCCAAAACTAGAAGCAATACATCCTGATTTGAGTTTTACCAAACTTTGATAACCAGGAAATCAAAACCTGATGAAACTGAAGATTAGCATATAAAATTCAGCAGGAATTTTAAAGACTACTCTTATTAAGACAGCTGACAGCTTTTAAAATAATTTTTATTTCACTATGCCTGGAACAATCAGAGGATAGATTATTGTGTCATAGCAAAAATTTGTTCAAACCCACAGCTGGATTTTACCCAGAAAATCTTGACATAAATCATATAAAGTCATTGCTCTTTTTAATAAAATGTTTGTATCCTCTGAACATAGTTAACTTCTAGCTTGTGCAAAAATAATATCTAAGATTTATTGAGATCTTACTAAAAAGAAATGCACCATATAGAGCAGATTTTGTTTGAAAGAACTTAGAATATGGGAGAAAATCAAACTTACAAACATGAAACAACTTCACTTAAAATATAAGACTTTACAAAATGAAGTTCCTTCCAGCACTTGGAAGTTCTAACCTGTATTTTTAAATATGAGGTTTTTTTTAGAGTGTATATTAATTTCATATGACATATATGAATGGTTTCCCAGATAAAGTATAGGTGAGCCTATCTGAATTTTAGATAAACAACAGTAAATTTTTGGTATGCGTATGTCCCAAATAAGTTTTTATGATATATTTATACCAAAACATTTATTTGCTGTTTATCTGAAATTCAAACTTAATTGAGAATCCTTGATTTTTATTTGCTGTTTTACAACCTTATCCCTACGTAATAATTTACATTTTTAGTGCTTGTTTCATTATTCTGACTCTCATGATTGTAACTATGTCTAAAATATAAGACATATATTTTAGCATTTAATTGATACATCAACATTTATTTAATTAAGCCCCTCTTAATGGCTATTATCCTTCCCAATTTTCGTTGTTATAATAAATAATGCTGAAATAAACATTCTTGTCACACAAATATTTGCAAAAATTGTTCCCTCACCCATTAGTTGTATTTTGACTTTGCTTGTGGCATATACAAAGAGAAATCTCACTAAAACTGTATACAGTCAGATTATCAGTCATTTCCTTTATGGCTTCTGGGTTTTGTTTGATGCATGAGAAGGACTTTCTTTACTCTTAACTAAAATGATGCATCCATTTATGTGCTACTTTCATGGTTTCGTTTTACAATGAAATGTTTGATCTGTCTAGAATTTATTTTGGGGTAAGGATTAGGATAGGGACTGGCTCTATTTTGCTTCTGAGTAGTTACGTCAACTGTCTCAACAGCATCTACTGAGTAATAATTTTTGATCATTGATTTTAAATGTTACCTTTATCATATCTGAAGTTTTCATTTGGATTTGGGTTTATTTTTGTACTTTTTGTTCTATTCCTTTGATCTGAATACCCATGCCTGCACCAGTGCCACTTTATTTTAATCCCTGTAACATCATAATATATTGTATCTCAAATAGTCTCATAGCTAAAGACATATGGTCCTCCTCATTTTTCTTCTTTTTCAGAAAAGTTCTGCCATTCCCAAATGTTTATTCTTCCAGGTAAACTTTAACATTATTTTGTCAAGGTAAAAACACTCCAAACTAATGTATGAATACTTTGATAAGAATTACATTGCATTTATAGGTTAATTTTCAGAAAACTATTGTCTCCGTAATACCGAATCTCCTTATTGCAGAACAGAGTATAGATTTCCATTTATTCAAGTCTTTTATGTTACTCAGTAGGATTTTTAAATTTTCCTTATTTACTTCCTACATGTACATATATTATTGCTATCAAATAAGTCAGTTACTTACGTTACCAGATTTCAGTACTGGTGTACTTACATAAATGATATTTGAGAATATAATACACCATGGTAATTTTTAAAAATTTTAGTGACAGTAACTTGATTTGAAAATAAAGAGAGCAAAGAAGGCTTCAGCAGGAATAAAATGCTAATGATTTTATAATATTTTTATAACATTTAAAATATATCTTATTCCTCCAGTTAGTCCCAGATAACATATAAGTTGTCTTAATATATAAGAAAAGTACGCTATTTGATAACGGTTACTCAAAAAAGATCATTACATTTTCCCACAGAAGTTGCTTTCATAATTCAGTTTTATTATTCATGACAGAACTAGTAAATGATAATAAAGATGCACTATTTGACAAGTCTACTGAATTAAGTGTTCAATCTCAACCAATAATAGCTCTCTTATATAACTTGCTAAGAAAAAAGTAGCAGAATTTCCATATATCTTCTCTAAATCATATAAAATGAGAGATTCTCTTTTCTTCCCTAAAATGTGATTATTGTATGTTTTTTTTCTCTTCTTGGCCAAAAGAAAAATAACTTGCCACTGTCCTACACCATTTTATCATTAGAAAATTTAAGTAACCATAATCAGTGGAGTGAGTTTTTATCTCTAGACCTTTTTCTGCACAAAATAGCAGTTACTTCTCTTTGCTGTATAAGCTGCTTGGCATGGCCTTCTCTTCCTACTTCTTTACTTTATAATTTTCTTTTCTACCCTTCAAGCATTGTATTTTAAAAGATACCATAGGAAGTAAAACAGGCATGATGACATAAAACTCCATTATAAACATGTTAAATATTTAAAGGTCCCTCTGTAAGAAATATAGTATGTACAAATTCACATGCACTTGAAACTTTTAATTCTAGTGTACAGATATGTTGATAAGAAATATATTGATTGGAAAGCCCAAAATAAACTGACACAGGAATCTTTTCTTCAGTGATAATTCTTTTTATTTATTTATTTATTTGGCGTCTCACTATGTTGCCCAGGTTGGAGTGCAGTGGCACGCTCATGGCCACCCCAACGTCAACCCACTGGGCTCCAGCGGTCCTTCCACCTCAGCCTTTCAAGTAGCTGGAACTACAGGCGCACACTACCATGCCCAGCTAATTTTTGATTTATCGTAGAGATGAGGTCTCACCAAGTTGCCTGGACTGGTCTCGAAACCCAAAGTGCTGGGATTACAGGCTGAGCCACCTAGCCCAGTCAGTGATAATTCTTTTTAGATATCTTTTTTCATTTATAATCTTAGGATCTTACATCTCCATTTAATGCCATCATTTACAGAAGTATAAATAAGTCAAGTGGTTTAAAATAAAATCAGGTTGACCCAAGTCCATACCAACTTGAGTGCCTGAAATGATCTTGTCATTTCTTAGTTCTTTTCTGTGAAAGTGTTTAGTGACCAGGAGAAGCAGAGGGCAATGGTTCCTCTCCCACAGCATCTAGCCCAGAAGGACTACGTAGATCATCTAGGCCAAGTCCTGCTTTTATGTACTCAAACATCTGAGCCTCAAACTCCAAAGATAATTGGCCAGTTTCTGGGGAATCCCAAAGTGCCTGCAGCCTCTGACCTCTGGAGCCTCTTTCCAGATACTGGGCCACCCTCCCTATACGTGAGATGACGCATCACCTCCAAGTCTACAACTGAGGTTTCCAAAAAGGCATCCGTCATATCTAAGCAAAGGACAGTGTCAGATAGGATGTATTCCATTCTTCAGAAATTAAACTCTGTTGTAATTTCATGGTAACCAACATGATAAAAGAGCCTGATTTTGGTTTTGGAGGGTCTTAAGATGTATGAAATCTTAGTAAGCCAAGTACTAATACTTGCAAGAGCTTCTTACCTTCTCTATTAAGTGCATCACGGCACTGAGCTGCTCCTCCGTGGTTTCCGTGGCCACTTTCATGCTGACCGTGTGGAGCACTCTGTTGAGAATGTCACCATCCAGGGGCTGGTGGAGCTGATCGGCAAGCCCCCACACGGCCTGCGAGTCTGCGTCAGACACAAGCGTGACGTTGGCGGTTCCATATACTTTGTCAATTTTGGCACCACCTTTTGGGTCAAAAAGCACAATCTGGAAGCGTTTAGGAAATGGATTTAAAGACCCCGTCTCTGGCGTTAGGATGACATCCAATACAGTGCTTCTCTGGCCAGGTTCAAAGACCAATGTGCCTTCAGTTCTCACAAAATCCTTCCCAGAAACAGCTGGAGAGATGAGGGTACGACCGATGGTTTCTGCACTCCTCAGTTCCTAGGATTAAACATCACTAAGTGAAATGATAATGCCTCTGACCTTGTCCTAGACAAATTCTATTTTTCTTAAACAAGCGGACGGGTAATAATGACAACTCTCCTTCAAAAAATGGGCTTTTATACTTTTTTGATCTTTTAAGGGAAATTGGAGCACTAAATAGACATCATACAGCTATGAGGTTAGGAAAAAAACACTTTAGAATGGATCAAGGAAGAGAGTTAGAAGAAATGGCACGTTTGTCTCTGAGAATTTCTCCAATTTTGAACACAATGAAAATTGTGCTTTAAATAACACATGTTGTAAAATATAATTGTGGCAGAAAGAGGGAATATTTACATCTTCCCTCTCACTTAGACATTTTGGGGGAGTTGGGAGCATAGAGAGGAGGCAGAGGGGAGAAAAGAAAAAGAAGAAGAAATTGACTTCATATTTATACTAAGATATGGAAATATCGTAAGGATCAGGTCCCAGACATACACACCTCTAATTTTCTTCAAACTATGGTTATCAAAAAGTTTTTTGGAAAAAGTGTTTTAGAAAGCGAAGCATGAATACTTAGTGAAGGAAGAACCCAAAACAATGTGCATGTATTTACTACTGAGCCAAAACTATTAAACTCCTAGTACGTGCCAGCTGGCATACTGCAGATACAGATTTGAGCATCACAATACAGTTCTCATGGACACTGCTCATCAAGCTGAGGCTATAAAGCTCTATGAAGAAGAAAGGGAGGAGGTAAGGGGATGCAGGGTGGTGGTGAGGGGACAATCTTAGATAAGGCTTTGATGGAAGCTTTTGGTGTATTATTTGAACAGAGCCCTCAGTGAAGTAAAGGAACAGGTTATGGAAGGATCTCAGGGGAAATATCCTAGGTAGAAAGAATAGCAATCACAGAGGCCCTGAGATGGGCCTATAGCATTTATGTGCAGGGAACAGTAGCCTATCAAAGGGCACAAATGCTATAGTGACTGTTTTCATTTCATTTAAACTAAAATGAAAATCAATATGATTGTAACAGATTAGCAACTTGATCCATAATTATTTACTCATCCATGTCAGCTATTGAAAAAGAGAATTATATGTCTGTCTTCTAGTAATATGTCTAGCATTTAGAGAGGACAATGCAGGCACAGTGAAACAACAACAAAATAAAATTATACAAGAGGTTAAAGTGTTATATCCACTTTTTTTTTTTTTTGAGTTAGAGTCTCACTCTGCTGCCCAGATTGGAGTGCAGTGGCCGCTTCCGGCCACCACAGCCTCGACCTGCTGGGCTCCGGCGATCCTTCCGCCTCAGCCTTCCAAGTAGCCGGAACTACAGATGTGCGCTACTATGCCCAGCTAATTTTTTTTGATTTATTGTAGAGATGATGTCTCGCCAAGTTGCCCAGGCGGGTCTCGAACCCGCGGGCTCAGGCAATCCACTCACCTTGGCCTCCCAAAGCACGGGATTACAGGCTGAGCCACGGAGACCGGCTTATTTCCACTTTTTTAAATTAAAATTTTTATTTTGAGATAATTGTAGATTCACACGTGGATTATAAGAAATAATAGAGATTTTCTGCACCCTTTAGACAGTATCCCTCACTGGTAACATCTTGCACAACTATAACAATATGATGATGAGGATATTGACATGGATACTGTCAAGACACAGAATCCTGTAGTCCCCATAGAATCCTTCATGTTGACTTCTATGACTGCATTCATTTCCCCTTGCCCCACCCTTTCCTTAATCTCTGGTAGCAACCAATTTCTTTTCCAATTCTACAATTTTTGTAATTTTAAGAGTATTATATCAATGAAATCACACAGTGTATACTCTTTTGGGATTGGCTCTTTTCACCTAGCATGATTCTATGGCAATTACTCTAGGTTGTTAGGTGTGTATTCATAGTCTGGTTCGTATTATTGCTGAGTAGTGTTCTGTGGCATGGACATAAAACAGTTTGTTTAGCCATCCACCCATTGGTGAATTTCAGCTATTATTAATAAGCTACTATAAACATTCATATATAAATTTTGCTGTGCACATAAATTTTCATTTCTTTGGAATAAATGCCCAGAAATGCAATTGCTGAATCATAGGCTAGTTCATGTTTAGTTCTTTAAGAAACCACCAAATGTTTTTCTAGAGTGGCTATACCATTTTGTATTCCCATTGGCAATGAATAAGTGACCCAGTCTCTCTGACTCCTCATCAGCATTTGGTTTTGCCTCTGACTTTATTTTAGTCATTCTGATGGGTGTACAATAATATATCATTGTGGTTTTTAACTTGCAGTTTGCTAATGGTGTTGAACATCTTTCTTTCTTTTTTTTTTTTGAGTGCAGTGGCACAATCAGGCTCATGGAGCCTTGGCCTCTTTGGCTCAGGCAATCCTTCCGCCTCAGTTTTCTGACAGCTGGGACTACAGACACGTGCTACCACATCCAGATATTTTAAAATTTTTTTATGGAAATAGGGTCTCGCTATGTGGCTTTGCTGGTCTTGAACTCCTGGGCTCAAGCAATTCATCCACCTCAGCTTCCAAAGGTGCTGGGGTTAAAGGTGTGAGACACCACACTTGACCTGAATGTCTTTTTAATATGAGTGTCAGTCATTTGTAAATCCTCTCTGGTGAAATATCTCTTCATGTCATTTGTCTATTTTTGTTTATTGTGTTCTTTCTTCCTTCCTGATGTTCCAAGTTTCCTTTAATTTTAAAATCATTCCCTTTCTGTTTAGAGAACTTTCTTTAGCTAATCTTTTAGTGTAGGTCTTAGTTTTTCTTTCATCTGACAATATCACAATTTCCCCCTTTATTTCAGTGTAATCAGAAAGATATGTTCACCAGACATAGAATTCAGGGCTGACAGTTCTTTTCTTCCAGCACTAGAAAAATGGTGTGCCGCTTCCACCAGGGCTGCATGGCTTCTGATGAGAAATCTCCTGTCATTCTAATTGCTTGTGGCCAATAGATAGGATACGATTTTCTCTTAGTTCTTTTAATATTTTTCTTTGTCTTTAACATTCATTAGTTTGACTATGTTATAGCCTAGTGTGAATTTCTTTGAACTTCTCTTGTTTGAGGTTCAGTTAGCTTCTAGAATCTGTAGGTTTATAACTTCTGCTAAATTTAGAAAATTTCCAGTCATTATTCTTCCAATTGCTTTCATCCCTAAACTCTTACTCCTTTGTTTTGGGACTCCAATGACATCATGTTAAATCTTTTTGTTATAGTTGCAGAAGTTCCTGAGGCTTTGTACATTTTTGTTTTCAATCTATTTTCTCTCTGTTGTCTAGATTGGGTAATTTCTGATGTTCTGTCTTCAAGATCACTAATTCTTTCTTTTGTTCCCTTCATTCTGCTGCTGAGCCTGTTGTTTATTTCAGTTATTGTATTTTTCAGTTTTAGAATTTCCATTTGCTCTTCTTTGAGTCTTCTATTTATTTGCTGAGACTTCTTATTTCTTTGTTAAGACTTAATTTTTCTTATTGTTTCAAGGATGCTTGTCAATGCTCACTGAAGTATTTGTATGATGGCTGTGTTAAAATTTTCTCAGATAATTCTAATCTTTCTGTCTTGCTTTTGCCACTTTTTGATTGTTCTTTTTCATTCTATTTAAGAGCTTCCTTGTTCTTGGTATAATGAATGCTTTTTTATTGAAACCTTGACATTGTGCATATAATCTTATGAGACTCTGGATATTACTTAAATCTATTTTCGCTGTCTTCTTTTGATAGTGCTCTGGCAGGGGAGAGGGAGGTACCCATGGTATTACTGTCAGGTGGAAAGAGAAGTCTGGCTTTCCCATTTTGCCTCTGTTGGCACTTGGTGGTGGGGAGGAAGATTCCTGGGTGGAGGTGGGAGTCCAGCATCCACACTAGGCCTCTATTGATAACTTTTTGGTTAGTAAGGGTGTGAGTGCCTTGTTACCGTTTCCTCAGTTGTCTCCACTGATAGATACCATGGTGAAGTTGGGTGGTCTTTTCACTCCTAGGTGGTGGTGAAAGCTCTGACTATCCACTAGGTAACCTGACACTCTTCTGGCAGAAAGGTTGAGCTTGTGGCAAAGGTGGACATTTAGACTCTCCATCCAGTCTTTGCTGCTGTGATGCTTGGCTGGAATACAGCAATTATTATCTAAAAGTCTTCCTAGGCTGCCCTCTTTCTCTTCTTTTCTAGAGAGAGGGGGCTTTTGTGGGGGTCTTTTAGGTCCTTTTCCATTAGTGTTTCCATAGGCCAATTTCTTCAGCTCCAAGTCTGGGATATAAGGCAAAAAGAAAATCCTGGGAACTCACTATGTGTCAGTCCTTGGGCCCCCAGGTCTCTAGCTGGTCTGCTTTCTTCTCTCCATCCTTCAGAGTCTTCTGCTGTTGTTTCATATATAACGTTCAGGTTTTAGGTGTACTTAGCAGGAAAAGCACAGTTATGCCATCCTCCCAGAAACAAAAGTTCTCTATTTCTAGCAAATGTTTCCAATTCCATTCTTCAATTCCATTATATTTGTTAAAATGGTATTGGTATTAAGGCACTGCCACAGATACCCTTTACTATGTATCTCTCTCTCTTTCTCTCTCTATGTATATATATGTATACATAGAGAAAATATATAATATATATATAAAATCTCTCTATATATGTCTATGTATATATATAGAGAGAGATTATATATATTATAGAGATATATATATATATTAAGATCAACAGTTTATGTATATGTATAGAGAGAGCTTTATATTATATTAAGATCATTAGTTGATGCAGTTATGGAGGCTAAGCAGCCGCAATCTGCAGGGTGATTTGGGAAGCTGGAGCCCAAATAAAGGTGATAGTCTAGTTCCAGTTCAAGCTGGAAGGCCTGAGAACCAGGAGAGCCAAAGGTGTCATTCCAGTCCAATAGCCAGCAGGCTTGAGACCCAGGAAAAAACCCAAAGTTTTAGTTTGAGTCCAAAGGCAGGAAATGCCAGTGTTTCAATTCAAAGGTTATTAGGCAAGACGAATTCTCTCTTACCTGGGGGAGGGTCAGTCTTTTTCTTCTATTCAGACCTTCAGCTGATTGCAAGAGGCCCACCCACATTCGGAGTACAATCTGCTTTATTCAGTCTATTGATGTCAGTATTAATCTCATGCCAAAATGTCATCAGAGAAACACCCAAAATAATGTTTGGTTAAGTATATGGATATCCCATGGTTTAATTAAGTTAACATATAAAATTAACCATCATAGTAGGGCAAACTGGAAACTCCTAAAAATGTATTGCTCCATAAATAAGTGTCTTTTATGACTTACATGCTAGTGATGGCCAGCATGAGTTTTACAAAAAAAATCACACATGAAAAATGTAGAAAAAAACACAACTATGCTAGAAATGTTGGCATTCAGGTCCTTCTTTGGGCAACTTCATTTTCTCTCTCTTCGAGTGTATGAACTGACTTAAAATATGCCTCCAACTTCATATCAGCTATTCTTCCTTTCTAGTCCTACCTTCATTCACTTTCCAAAGTAGCGAGCAGATGATGGCACATATTTCATGAGAGAAGATAATAAAACACATACTTCTCACTTCTATTCCATCTTAAACACTCTACTAAAAATACTAAAGCTCCCCACCGTTAATCATAATATTTCTCTCTGTGTTCATGCTGTTTCAAGGTTATTTAGAACAGCTTACTTCTAGGGTCTCATATAATAGAGTTTTTTATTCTTGTTTGCTGAGCTGTGGATTCTGTCATAACAATAAGACTTCGGCCTGGCAAGCTTCCAGGACTACGGACTACCCAGAGCTGAAGACCTGCCCTTCCATCTCTGACTCATGAGACTGCTGCAATATCCTGGCCATATATATGTTCTATTTTATCCACAGCATGTTCTTGATTGAGTCCCCCAGTTGTGGCACAACCAAGCTTCATAACCTTGAGGCCTAAAGAGTCACCAGGTTTGGAATCTTGAAATAGGAAAAATGACAACACTGATCAGAATGGTAGTGTTCAAATTGTGGGTTTCCTGGATACGGTCAAAGGGGATAAAAGAGAGGACTAAGGAAGGCAAGCCACAATCCTCAGAATCATGCTTCAAGCAGAGCTAAGATATATTTTTGTTTTACTATTTCACTGCTAAAACAAAGTAAAAAATAATGCTAAAAAAGATATATGGTGTTGTTTGGACAAAGTTGAGAATTTGATCACTGAGTGTCACAGCATTCTCTCCTGAGTCCCCAGATGCCCACCTACTCCCTTTTACCTGATGTCACCTAACAGGAAGGGTGTGGAAAGTGGGCAGGAAGGCCTCATGAACTCATGGATTTGAAGACACAGAAAGATCAGTTAGGGCTGGATGTTCGGAAGAAGAAAACGTGCAACTCATTCAGCTATGAACCAGGACAAGAACCTTCCTTTCTGCTTCTGGTCTTGCCCAGTTTCACTCTGAAGACATCCTGACTTCCTAGAGGTTTTACAGGATAGATTTATGTAAGTCACTTCACGCTATATAATCAATGTTGCCAAGAGAAAGAAAAATAGAGATGTCTATCATTTTAAAATATATCTCACTGTTACTGATGAGTGAAAAACTGAGCTGTTTCAAGGATAAAACTTAATATGCTAACGTGAATTATGATGGTATCGTCAGAAAACAATGTATGTATTATCATCTGTTTCATCACTCTCGCTACAGTTAGAGAAGAAAATCTAAACATGCATGAATATATACTCCATGCTTACCTGGGTGCTAAAGTTAACAGACATCATTAGTCCTGTCCCAGAATCTCTGGCCACCTGCAAACTGATTAAGGTGGCCTTCTTGTGAGTCACTGCCAGCCGAGAACCCACAGCAAAGTACACGAGGCTCTGAAGTTCATCACTCGGTAAGACTGTAATCCATGCAAACCTGGCACTGTGGTTGATGGCTGCTCCAGCAGTCACTTCATAGAGTTCCACAAAGAAATGCACTTCAACTTGAGGTATCTGACAACGAGAAAAAGAAAAAGAAAGGACTATTACTAATATCTTTCTATTTATAGACGTCCTTATATTTAAAAATAACATCATATAATTACAGAAAAAACATGGACCCAGAGATGCATTCTGTATAATTACAGAATTGAGTCTTATGTTAGGTTTCTATGGTATTTATTTTTCGGTCTTGCTTTAAAAATCCATCTACCTTCTCTGGGTGAGCTTCTTACTGGAAAATCAATGTCTGGAGACAACCTATGTATACTTCAATAAGCAAAAGGATAAATAAAATGTATTCATACAATGAAACACTGAAAGTAGCTGAAAGGCATGAGCTAGCTCAAATTTTTTTTAAAACAGATGGACCTCAAAACATGATCATGAGTGAAAATACCAAACTGCAAAATTGATATGTAAAGCATGACACATGACAAAAATGTAAAGTTAAAAATTATGTAATGCTTGCTCTATACTGTTAATGGATACATATTTAAATAAAGATTTTTAAATCCACCAAACCACGACAACAGTGGCCTTGGATGGAAGGGTCAGGTAGAGGCCAGGGCAGGGTGTGGACCTGGAGAAGAACATTGGAGAGAGGAATAAAATGGAGTATCAACTTAGTCTGTAAGGTTTTATATTTATTTCTTTTATTTTTAAGGGGCCTTAAATAAATATGAACAAATATTGATGTCAATTCTGTAATTTTAGGTATTTTTCAAAATTTCCCATAATTCAGTATAAAATAAGCGTAAACTTAGCTTGGTCATCATTTTCTCATGTTTCATCTTGGTTCTTTCTCCACAATCTCAAATAACATATTCAAAATCTCAAATAACTTATATTCAAAAAGCTGGATTCGATTTTATGACATATTGTCAATCACTTGTTTTTACTAATGATTCACTCTTACCCAATAATTTACATCTTAGCAATATTGTGTTACCTGGCACAACCCAAAGGAGCTAAGCTGATGCATCTTTCAACTGCATGTCTAATTTGATATAATGTATCCTTTTTGTATACCAACAAGAGCCTTACTCATCATTTGTTTGGTCACTATTTTAATGATGATAATTATTTCATACCATGCTACAACAAATCTTTAGAATTACTCAAGAGCAAATAGTATCTTAGTCACATGATAAATAAACTTAATTTCCTTTTGCTTTCTGTAGAAATATGTTTAGTTTTTTCCTGTGTCACATATTCTTTACTTTTGCTAATCAACTATCAGTCAATATTGAAATATGGAAATTAACAGACTATTTCCACTTTTCAGAAACTACTCTTGGCAGATACATAAACTATAGCACAAGGAAAGTATGGGTTAACTATAATAAAGAGTTATTATTACCAAATGGCTAAGTGAGCTTGAATTCACAGTAATTTATTTTAGCTAAGGATTTCAGCATATTACATTCCAACAGAGACTCATCTTTATTTCCCAGTAAAATATTCCTTTTAATTGTGATGATGATTAGAACATTACTTATAACTACTTACCATAAAAAGAATATGTTATAGTCTAAGTAAAGAACCATCTAAAACTGAACAGTGTGCAGATTGGTGCCTACACATCACTAGACTGAAGACAAAAAAGAATCTTCCAGTCTTACAGACTAATTGGAAGATGCACGGATCATACATAAACCTCCCTACACTTCTAAATATGACTGGAAACCTCACAAGAACCCATTCCATGTGTAGCTACCAGAAGGTTCCTTTACCAGTTAAGTCAAAGCACTCTCCGATGATCTTCTGCCCCAACTAGTATGCGATGATTTTTCCTGGTACCAGAACTGCTCAGCAACAGGAAACCAAAGTAATAATGAAACCATATGTCACTTACTTAAAATTTTCAAAAACATGTTCAACAACTGTTTAAACTCTCCATTTAGTTTAAACAGGATTTGTGGGTTGACAGCATGCTTCCTAATTATTACCTTACATGTTTTGCTAATACAGAACTATAAACTAAAACATCAGTACAAAGGGAAATGGACTGAAATTCAAGAGATGGGTTCTAACCTTAGCCCAGTAATGAAATGGGCAAGTTACTTCAATTCTTCATAATTTGAACAAAAAGATCAAACAACTCCAGAGATGATAATTAGAGATAGAATGAGTAGAAATATGTTAAGTTGAGCATCAGGACTGGACTGAGGTGTGGAGGCACCATTAACAGGGGTGTCATTCTGTAACTGTGTCTATTATATTTGCAATACCCGTAACTCCCCTACCGCTGGTGTTGCTGTAGTTACTATTCAAGTCACTGAATTCAGAATGACAGCAATACCAGTCATCTGTTATGAAGGGACAATGTTTTGCTGAGAGCTATGCTAAGAACCTCTCATTCATTATCTCACTTAATCTGCCCACAGTCCTATAGTAACCCCCATAAAATCTGAGAGGTTCAGGAAAGCTAAGCAACATATTCAATGTCACTCAGCTATAAGAAGAGCTAAGATTTGAACCAAGGTTTTCTATCATCAGAGTCCAAACTCTTAGCTGCTATACTGATTCCAATTGCTCCAAGAATAAGTTCAGTATAACTGACAAAAAATGAACAAGATAATTTTATATCAAAAGTCTAGGAATAATTGTGTTGCACTGCTGAGTCCTTCAAAGAATCTCTTAAGCCCGTTACAAAAGAACGGGAATACAGAATCTGTCTTGCTTATATCATAAGTAACAGTGTATCGAACATAAAAAGAATTTGGACTGGATGAGTAACAAATTCTGTTTGACTCATAAAGTGAGACATTAAAATGTATGTTAGAAGTTCATATTTTCAACAAAATACTAGCAAACAAAATTCAACAACACATCAAAAAAATAATCCATCACCACCAAGTGGGTTTTATTCCAAGAATGCAAGAGATGGTTTAACATATACAAATCAATAAACACGATTCACCACATAAACAGAATTAAAAACAAAAACCATATGATCATCTCAATAGACTCAGACAAGGCATTTGATAAAATCCAACATCCCTTAATGATAAAAACTCTCAACAAACTAGGAATGAGGAATGTATGTCAAAGTAGTAAGAGCCATATATGACAAACCCACAGCCAACATCGTATTTAATGGGGGAAAAGTGGAAAACACTACCCCTCATAATTGGAACAGACAGGGTTATCCACTCTCACCACTCCTATTCGACATCATACTAGAAGTTCTAGCAAGAGCAACCTGGCAAGTTAAAGAAATCAAAGGCATTCAAATTGGTAAGGAAAAAGTCAAACTATCTCTGTTCACTGATGACATGATTACATACCTAGAAAACCCTAAAGACTTCCAAGAAGCATCTAGATCTGATAAACGACTTTAGTAAAGTCTCAGGATACAAAATCAACAAAAAAAATCAGTAGTATTTCTATACACCAATAACACTCAAGCCGAAAACCAAATCAAGAACTCAATCCCAGGGTACCTGCATGATCAATGTTTGTATACCTAACCTTGAATTGTACCCCATATCTTTATAATAAATAAATTTTTAAAAAAGAACTCAATCCCATTTACAACAGCCACAAAAGAAATAAATACCTAGGAATACCCTTAATCAAAGAGGCAAAAGATCACTAGAAAGAGAACTACAAAATGCTGATGAAATAGCATGTAGACAACACAAACAAATGGAAGAACATCCTATACTCATGGATTGGAAGAATCAATATTGTTAAAGTGACTATACCGCCCAAAGCAATCTACAGATTCAATGTATTTCCTATCAAAATACTAACTCACTTTTCACAGAAACAGGCAAAACAATCCTAAAGTTTATATGGAACTAAAAAAGAGCCAGAATAGCCAAAGGAATCCTAAGTAAAAAGAACAAATGCAGAGGCGTCACACTGCCTGACTTCAAATTATACTACAAGGCTATAGTAACTAAAATAGCATGGTACCGATACAAGAATAGACAGAACAATGGATCAGAGAATCCATTGTGAAGAAATGTGTTGAGGGAATTGGAAAGAAAAGAATAGAGAATCCAGAAATAAAGTCACACACCTACAAAATCTTTGACAAAGATGACAAAAATAAACAATGGGAAAAGGACACCCTCTTCAATAAATGGTACTGGGAAAACTAGCTAGCCATATGCAGAAGAATGAAACTGGACTCCTATCTCTCACTATATACAAAAGTTAACTCAAGATGAATTAAAGACTTAAATGTAAGACCTGAAACTAGACAAATCCTAGAAGAAAACCTAGAAAAAACTTCTGAACATTGGTTTAGGCAAATAATTTATAACAAAGTCTCCAAGAGCAAAAATGACCAAAAAATAGACACATGAGTCACAATTAAACTAAAAAGCTTCTGCACAGCAAAAGAAATAATCAGCAGAGTAAACAGAAAACCTATGGAATGGGAGAAAATATTTGAAAATTATGCTTCAGACCAAGGACTAATATTCCAGAATCTACAAGGGATTCAAACTACTCAAAACACACACACACACACACACACACACACACACACACACACACACACACACACACACACCCCAAACTCATCAAAAAGTAGGCAGAGGACATGAATAGACACCTCCCAAAAGAAGACACACAAGTGGTCAACAAACATATGAAAAAATGTTCGGTATCACTAATCATCAGAGAAATGCAAACTAAAACCACAATAAGATATCATCATACACCAGTCAGAATGGTTATTATTAAAAAGTCAAAGAACAACAGGTGTTAGCATGGATGCAGAGAAAAGGGAATGTTCATACACTGTTGGTGGGATTATAAACTCGTTCAGTCTCAACAGAAAAGAGTATGGAGATATCTCAAAGAACTAAAACGAGAAGTACCATTCAACCAACTTGATGCCTACAAATAGGTATCTAACTGAAGGAAAAAAAATCATTATATAAAAAATATACTTGTGGCTGGGCACAGTGGCTCAACCAGCACTTTGGGAGGCTGAAGTGAGGGGATGGCCTGAGCCCATGGGTTCGAGAACAGCCTGGGTGATTTGGCAAGACCTCATCTCTACAATAAATCAAAAAATTAGCCAGGCGTGGTAGCATGCACCTGTAGTTCCGGCTACTTGAAAAACTGAGGCAGAAGAATCACCTGGGCCCAGCAGGTCAACGCTGGGGTGGCCGTGAGCATGCCACTGCACTCCAGCCTAGGCAACAGAGTGAGACTCCAACTAAAAACACACACACCCACACACACACACACACACACACACACACACACACTCTTGTACTCATATGTTCACTGCAGCACTATTCACAATAGCAAAATCATGGAATCAATCCAAGCGTCCATCAATGATTGACTAGATAAAGAAAATGTGGTATATACACACCATGGAATATCACACAGCCATTAGAAAGAATGGAATCATGTCTTTGCAGCAACATGGATGAAGCTGGAGACGATCATCCTAAGCGAACTAACTCAGAAACGGAAAACCAAACACTGCATGTTCTTACTCATACGTGGGAGCTAAATGGTCACAAAGATGGGAATAACAAATACTGGGGACACCAAAGTGGGGGAGGCGGGGAGGAGGGTTAAGATTCACAAGTTACCTACTGGGTACAATGTCCACTATCCGGGGACTGGGCCATCTGAAGTCCAATCCCCCCTCCAATACCCAATATGTCCAGGTAACAGGCACGTGCCTATACCTCGTGAATCTAAATTAAAATTTGAAAATAAAGATGAGGAAGCTAAGCAGCAACAACAACAAAGGTCATAATTCTTACAATTTTTTTTTCATTTTTATAAAAACATAATTATCTTCCACCTTTCTTTTTAACTTTCCACTTACTGAAATGAGAATGTATATTAACCTTGCCTTTTAATATCTGGAAAGATGATCAGGGCGAAATGCCTTGAAAATTAGTTGCTTCTCAGAATACAGAAGAAAAATAATTTAAACATTACATTTTTTTTAATTTTTATTTTTTTTGAGTTGGAGTCTCACTCGGTCGCCCAGACTGGAGTGCAGTGGCCGCTCCCAGCCA